TTGTAAAGCAATATTTTTAATGTAAAAGAAAAGATCTTAAAAAAATTGTTTATAAATGATTTTATCCTACCATACGACTAGATTATGGTCGTCCCATCAATGCAGCAAATAGCTACTTTGTCTAATGAAAAAGCCTCGTACCGATTGGAGATGATGTGGCAAGGGTGGGACTCACAAGGTAAGGTGCAAAAAATAAAAATAAAAAAAGTCTAACTGTTGTGACCGTTGCACTTAACCGTCAATAAACAATATTGTCAACTTACATTGGACAGATGAACAACATTAGCATGTTTTTCATTGTAGAGGGACGACAAATGATGTTAATTAATAGTAGAGAGATGACATGAAACCAATACATAGTAGAAGGTGTAGATTGCATTATTTTTTATAATAGAGGGATAATAAATGACATTAACCCTTTTATATTTGTTTTTCAAATCACCTCTTATTTAATTTAAAGTTTAAACTTGATATTTTTAATTTAAAATTTTAAAATTTAAGTTAGTTTACACTTATCCGATCAAAGTGAATAATTCTCACTCTATCCAACTTTAATTGTTATACTTATCCGATCAAAGTGAATAATTCTCACTCTGTCCAACTTTAATTGTTATACTTTTTAATTAAAGTGGTTTTAAATTAACTGCCCTATATTTCCTCTTTTTTTTTTTATGGAAAGTTGCCCTATATTTTAATTATAGGTGTTTTTATTTTATCTTTATTTTTAAAAAATAATTACAATATATGTAAAAAGAATAAATAAAAACTTTTATCACTTAATTATTACATTCTTATTTTATTGAATAATTAGGTTAATTAAAATTGAAGAGACGTTGGAAAAAAAAAAAACTAAACTTCAAATTTTTCTTTTTCAATTAAGCCATGAACCTTTTTTTTTTGGGGGGGTGGGGAGTGCTTTAAATGAGGAGAGTGCAACGTATTCGAGTACTTTAAAAATCAAACTTGACTTGTTACTAAAGGAATATGAAAGTGAAGCTCAAGCTTGATCTAAAAGTTAAGCTCTGGTTCAATATATGTAAAAATTGTTCAGCTGCAGCTTAGCTCCTTTAGCTCAACAACCACCGCCGCCTCCGCCCCCCTCTCTTTTTTCCACTATTTCCCAGTACTTCATTACTTCCTCCAACATCTATAAAGCTTGAGAAGGATGAGAATCAAAATCAGAAGCTAAGATTGCAATTTCCCTCTGAAAGCTGGTCTGGATATGAAATTTCACCCAAGAATCAACTCTTCTTGGTCTCGACGCCCAATCCCCTCTCGGTCTCAACATGTTGGTTGGTTCTTGAGAAAACCTAGATTTCTTAGTGTAGCCATTCTGAGTAAACCAGAAAAAAAGTATTCTTTTCTTCTTCAATGTGTACCATTAAAGAGGAAGGCTGATTTGAGAGATGAAAGAGAGAAAGAAGAAAAACTGAGAAAGGGTTCGGTAAGAGGTTCAGGAAAAGACTATTTCAACCATGTTCTTATATTTTAATTATTTTAATTAAACATTCAAATTTTCCACATAAAGTTAATCACAATATGCTCTACATTACTTTCAACAAACCTATGTAAGTACCTAATTAATTATTTGTAAAAAAAAAATTATTAAAGGACAATTTTTACCCTTTAACTTTTTATTGTTTGTAACAACCATATTTACATCAACTAAGTATGGGGGGCCACTAACTGCAACTTTGTCTCCTTTGGATGGAAAGGTGATGCCATGACACAGAAAAAGTGGCATCTTGCCACAACCATGCGGTTCAAGGGTAGGTTTTTCACAAGAAAAAGTTAAGGGCTAAATCATCCACAAACACTGAGTTGAGGGGTTAACAAGCCCTTTTCACCAAATATAAATGACTAAAGAACAATGATTGCTTTACGCTTTTCATGACCAAAGACCAAGTCGTCTTCTCCATTCCAAAATCACCATTCAATTTTTTAGCGCTTCTGAGAGAGTGTCTCCGTCGCGTTTTTCTCCCAACACAAACATGGCTAGATTTCGTAACGTATAAAAGAAAAAAATCCCTCCATGGATTCTTCACCAACTGTTATCATATTAGAATTTTAACTAAATGAGCCAAGAACAACCGCCGAGGCCAGAGGAGCAAGAGCCCATCAAACATGGCAACATTTTCGATGTCCAAGGTGAGCTCGCCCACAAGGCAGTGTCGCCGAGGGATGTGTCGATGAAGCAGCCGCTCGAGAACGCCTTTCTTGGCCAAACTCAGAAGGGAGGTGCGGCAGCAGTGATGCAATCTGCGGCAACGCGAAACGAGAGACTCACACAACAATCTAATAGCCCCAAAAAGACGAAGGAAGCTCTTGTTGGGCAGGTAGTTGGTTAAATCCAACACTAGTTAATATTTCTTTCAATTCAACATATTATATAATATATTTATTAAAAATTTATTAATTAATATAAAATTAACAATAAATAAATTTGTTATTCATACATTATATACAAATTAATTAAATTAATTATATTTATATTATATTTTAATAATTAAATCAGATAAATATTAAAAAATATATTAAAGTTTAAAATGTATTAGTCAGTTTCTTTTAAAACTTGCAAATGGATTTTACATCTGGGTGTTTCAATTTAGGGGCAAAATAACCAAGCGGCTTCTCCACCATCCGGCAATCAACATGGCGGTAATTTAACAAATCCAATCACTATTGGGGAAGCACTTGAAGCCACTGCTCTCACGGCTGGAAATAAACCGGTAGAATGGAGTGATGCTGCCGCGATTCAAGCTGCGGAAGTCAGAGCCACTGGACGGACCTCTATTATGCCTGGTGGCGTCGCAGCCAGTGCACAGTCGGCTGCCACCCTCAACGCAAGGATAACTCGGAACGAGGAAAAGAGAAAGTTGGCTGATATTCTTTCGGTAAGTTTCCTTATGGACTCTTTTCTGTTGGGTTATGATATGCATCTAAACACTGCACCATTCATTTACAGAATGCAACTGCAAAGTTACCGGCGGACAAGCCGGTGACGAGGAAAGATGCAGAAGGGGTAACTGGGGCGGAAATGAGAAATGACCCAAACCTTACTACGCATCCTGCAGGCGTGGCGGCGTCTGTGGCTGCAGCTGCTAGGCTCAACCGGATTAAATGAGACTTGAAACAGGCCTGTTTTCTGTTTGAGCACAAATTGCCATGGATAAATGTACGTCATGGGTAGTCCTTATCTTATAAGTATAGTTCAAATTATGTATCTAATAAATAAATAATGGGGTTTCTAATTTTATTCCAATCATATAGGATTGGTCTCCAACTCATGTTAATCGGTTTTCCGATTCCCACATATATATTTTCATTAATCTAGACATAATTTTGTACATATGTATGTGACCGTGTATATCATACCATTCTTTGAACTGTTGTGTTAATAGCAAAAAGATTATGACTCTGCTTTTGGTGATCAATCATAGAAGAAAAATTATTTAGTTTAATACATTTTATGATATTTCGTTTTCATTTAATTATTAAAATATTTATGATACTTGTTTTGGTGTAATATTAAAGTATAATATAGATATAGTTAATTAATTCAATCAGGTTTTGCATTTTATATGTATCATTATATTTTTAAATTTATCTATTTTTAATTTTAAATAAAAATAATAATTTTTTAATAAATATATTATATAATATATTAAATCAAAATATGTATTAATCATTGCTTATTAAATTAGATTCTAATTCATTATTATCTATGTTGGTTAATTGGCTTTCGCAACCCCACATCGTGCGTTAGGGGCAAAATGGTAGAATTCATAAAAAAATAAAGGGTACCGCTTCTCTTGGTGGTTTGGCTAGTTTGTTTATTTAGTTATTGGCGAGCTTCTGCATATCGGCCCAGGTTGCTATTTTTGAACGGGTTGTGTTGTGATGGGGTGAAAGTTAGTTAGCAAGGTTGAAGGGCTATAGAGGAGGAGCTCGATACTCCCAAGCATAGTGATGTTCCTAATCTAATCCAATAATCGATAAGTGGGGACTATCATTTGTTGGAATTTTGCTCTCCTTGAAGCTGGGATAAATAATTGGAAAATATATGTTCAATCCCACACCAATTGTCTATATCTATAGTTTCCTCAATTAAGAGATTCGCCTGTAATTTTAATTTTATTACATTAATAAAATCTCTATTTTTTGTAAAAAATATATGAAAGATTTTGCCATCTTGGGAGACAAAAAATAGAATCTATAATAATAATTAGAGACCTGAAGCAGCGCTGGGTGTAATTTGTTCATATTAGATTTTGTTAAGTGTTTACTAGTAATAAATTTTTTTTATTAATAATTCTTTTTATCATTACTAATCTTAAATGCAATAATTTATGAAAAAACTCTGAATGATAGATATGGAAGAAGAAGATTTAAAGCTAATCCTTTTATTTTTTTTTCTTAAATATAAGTAATTTGTTATAACTAAGAGGATTAGGAGAAGGGGAAATGAGAAAGGAGTTGGTGGAGTTTTAATATAAGCTCATTGAGTGAATTCCACAAAGCGAGCGACTTTACCATTACACCTATAATGTGAATTTTAAGGTAATCATTTTAACTTCAAAAGATAAAGACAAATTTTTATATAAAAAAAAGATATCTAGACTATGATGGGTGTGTATTGTTATTTTTAATTACTATTCATTACAAACAAAATAAAAATAACTAATTTAACAAAAGAGAAACACAAAGTTAAGTCCTTCCCAAAAACAACATTCCAATATAAGATGGAAAGGCAATATATAATCAACCGATTATACTTTAAAGATTTCTTATCATCTTGCTTTAAGAAAAAATTAATCAATTAATCAACTCAACATGCTACCTTATAAGGTGGACCAAAAAAAAAAAAAAACACAGTCGCTACTTATACCTTGATTTTGTATTTGAGAGTCTACTTGTTGATGTGGTATATATGGGCCGAAGTTATTGAGACATAATTTGACTTATATTTTATAAATTTAAACATTTTTTTAAATAACTAATTATTATATTTAAAAATATTTAATTATAAATTAATTTTAATTTATTTAATAATAAATATTAAATATTTTATGGCAAATTGTATGAGCAAAAACTAGAAGAGAATAATATATTGGCTGTGGTTATTTTCACTCACATTTTTTTTTTGTTAAGGCCATATAATTTCATTGATATTTTCTTAATTTAGTTATTAAAAATAATTAATAATTGATAAAATATTTATTATTTATTATTTAATAAATTAAAATTAATTTATAAATAAATATTTTTAGTCATTATAATTAATTATTCAAAAAAAAGACAATAAATTAATAAAATTATGTAACTTAAGAAAATTATGAGTAACAATAATTACTGTTCAGTATATCTTAAAAAAGCACCAAAAGCAATAATACTATGAAAAATGAAAGCACCAACCTTTAATTTAATTCATTAAAATACTTTTAATAAAATTATTTTAATAATTTCATAAATTAAATTATATTTTTATTATATAATCTAAAATGTAAAATATAAATTAATAAAAAATATATATTACTAAAACCTAAAAAAATGAAAGCACCAACCTTTAATTTAATTCATTAA